GAATGTAATTGTCCGCCTAATTGGATTATAATATGCCTACATGAAACAGACGCACGTTAAGCCAGTCAAAGGTTCGGAGGTATTTCCTCTTGACTATTAACGGTAGTTGATACTTAGATGTTTTATGATGAATTAATGAGAGTTAAAATGACTGGCAGTTTAACCTAAGCCGATTGTAACGACCGGATTGATAGTAACAGCTCCTCTTTAATTGTGGAGCTGAGAGTGACTGGAATACCGATATGGCACGACACAGATTCACATGCTTGCTTTGTATAACGAGAGTTCACCAACACCATAATGTCCGGCGCTAGTGTGTTAATATAGTCTTTGTGATCTTTGTATTGCTCACAATGAGATGTTTTATAAAACGGTCACGTAGTATAACAATGCTCCTTGCACTGGCTGGGGTGAGAAACGAAGTTGCTTTAGTATCGCAAATAATTCCTGTACAGAATTGGCGCGTGCCAGTTTTGCTTCTTTCAAAAGCTCGAAAATAGATTTGGCGAAGTTACTAATTCCTGGGTTCTTACATTGTAAAGTAGGTTCATAAAGTAAAGCTTAGAGTGAGTGGGTGAGTGAGTGAGTGAGTGAGTGAGTGAGTGAGTGAGTGAGTGAGTGAGTGAGTGAGTGAGTGAGTGAGTGAGTGAGTGAGTGAGGAATTCCTTGGTTCTTACATTGTAAAGTAGGTTCATAAAGGAAAGAGTGAGTGAGTGAGTGAGTGAGGTGTAAGCCACACTAGATTTGGCGAAGAGTGACTGATTCCTGGGTGAGTGAGTGTAAGTGCAGGTTCATGAGTAAAATGAGTGAGTGAGTGAGTGAGTGAGTGAGGTAACGCCACACTCAGCAATATTCACGCCATGGCGGTGGTCTGTAAAAATAATCGAGTCTGGACCAGACAAGCAACAGCCGGAACATCGATCCACGCAGTTAGGGCAAGCCGTAATGTGTCAGCCAGCCTGACCACCCGATCGGTAGGTTGCCTCTTACAAATGAATTTCAATGTATCTCTTGTAGCAGTTCAGTTATATCTCACTCAGATAAATGTTGACCTCCGCCCGATTTGATGTAGCCCTAAGACAGTTTACGCTTTGGTAAAACACACAAGTAAATAACGATGTCAAACTTGGAATCAGATCATAGGCCCACAATTACAGGTTTCCAGCAAACGCATGAGATATCGTATATCCAGTGAATTTACAGTGAAAAACCCACAGCAAAATAATTCCCTTTTTCTTAACACAAAAAACAGGAACCATGTAAGCTAGAGTTTTCGACAGGAGCGGCCAACTCAGTGACGCAGGTTAAGGCAGTTGAATCATTAACGTACCAGGGAACGACGGCTGTCTCTAGTACAAATATCGCATTTATCGAAAGTCGGAGAGGGTGTATAGGAAACGTTCACAACGACAGTGACGGCACGGCGACACCGTGAGGGCATGCTGTCACTTAATACTCTGTTTGAAACATTGCAGGTGACCAATCATCCGTGGGCACTGCATAAATGAAATCAGCTGGTATCTACCTGTCCCCTTTCAATGAATAATCCTGCAGCTGGTTCGTTCCGTTATTCCCGTCATCAAAGACTGGGTTTGGGAGGGTAACTTCAGGCAACAAAGCCAGACAAACTAATGGATGACTGGATTAGGTCCATTGTTGCATGGGCACGAGTGCTGCTACTTAAGAACATTATATATACAGATGTCTTGTGTGAAGGTGAACGGTGGGTTAGCCGAGTGGTTAAAGCGTTCGCTCATGACGCCGAAGACCCGGGTTCGATTCCCTGGATAGACACATGCTGTGAAGCCCATTTCTGGTGTTCCCCGCCGTGATGTTGCAGGAATATTAATAAAAGCGGCTTAAAACCATACTCACTCACTCACTGGCATGAAGGAGTGTGCATTTATAAACCACGAGCAAAACGACCTGAAACTGATAAGTCAGAATACATTACAAATTAAAATGTATTCCATGCGAATTTGTATTACCTTTTTAAAATAACCATGAGCAGCAAATACATGTATATCCATGTTATTAGCATGAACGAATGATACCATCTGTCGTGCACGCACGCACGCACGCTATAACATCATTCCGAAATGTATTTAAACGCTAACATTTGTTCCATGTGAGTAAACCTCCAAAGCAGTATCAAGTCACCCTCGACAGAATTTATTCACATGATGTAGACATATATTAGTTGTCCTGCATACACCCATGCAGACCGTTTCAGAGTGTAATAATTTACAGGAACAGCTTCTAAAACCTCATGAGATCAATTCACCCTTCCCGCAAAGCTCCTTTTTCACTTTTCAAACGATAAGTATGCAATGCCTTCTTTAATAGTGGGGCGGTGGGGTAGCCTAGTGGTTAAAGCGTTGGCTCGTCACGCCGAAGACCCGGGTTCGAATCCCCACATGGGTACAATGTGTGAAGCCCATTTCTGGTGTCCCCCGCCGTGAAGTTGCTGGAATATGGCTAAAAGCGGCGTAAAACCATACTCAGTCAGTCAGTCTTTAATAGTGGTAACAGCTTCAAGGAAAAAATCTTTCATGCTGGCTTGAGCCTCGAGACCTTGCATAAAACAATTATGAATTATAGCCCTTCACAAACTTTAAACTGTAATCACGCATGTCATGATCATAAAACTTATTTTGTAACCTCACAGATAACTTGATCGACGTAGTCTTTCATTAATGTAGCCATTTTCGTCATGAATAAAGTTACTTGTAAACACAATAACAAAAATGTAAATTCTCTAACCTTTGTCCACGAGTTGTGTGAAAACATTTATAGATTCTTTTGAGTATGGTTTTACACCGCGTTTACCAATGTTCCAGCAATATCAAGGCGGGGACACCAGAAATGGGCCTCATACATTGTACCCATGTGGGGAATCGAACCCGGGTCTTCGGCGTGACGAGCGAACGCTTTAACCACTAGGCTACCCACCGCCCCTCTCTGGCAGAACTGGTAACCGTACTTCTAGGAATGTATGAGTTTCATGGAATGCTCTGTGTTCCAAAGCGTCGTATACCAAGGAGGCAAAACGCTCAGCAGGCTAATTGTGAGAAATCTGATCAGGTTGTGAGTTAGGGTTGACATCAGTAACTCTTCTGAAACAGCGATACGTGTAACGTAAGAAGCCATTCATACATGTGTCCCTCAGCCAACATAACACAATTCTCTACCATTCCTCCTTCTGCTTTGGGGGATTCTGGAGGGTGAACTAACAGATGTGTCATAACGATGATGGTGCCCTAAAACCATGACCAACAAATTACAGAACACCCACCATCAGAAGGTGATGTGGTTCCATAGCCATCAGCAATAACAGATTAACTATGGAAAACATGAAAAACTCTATCATTCCCTTTGTGTAGTACATTTTTTGGTGGATGCCGACCCAGACATGTCAATACACGTCTTATGATGATGATTATGTTATGACAATGCATACCCATAATCAGAAAAAAAGGTCTAAGATTGGAATAACTTTTCATGGTTACTGCTGCATTTCCTAAACCAATGCCAAATACATGTATATTAGATACTAACGTGGCATCGCAATGCTATTCGTTGGTTGGTTGGTGTTTAACGTCGCACTCGGCAATATTCCAGCTATGTCGGCGGTGCCATAATATTGATATAGCAACGAGTTATATATCTGAATAACTGATAAACGCAGTAATGAATGATCGCAGGGAAAGCCTACAGAATCCAAATATACCATACACTGCAGTGACACATTCTCAAATATTGCCGTGGCTTTACATGACATTGTATTCCACTGCCCTGTAGCTAACGGTTTTATGCATAGTTTCAATATTGTACTCACGGAATATTAAGAATGTGATAGATATTTACGTTATATTTCTGAGGTTTACGTAAATATAGGAATAGCCATAGGTGTTTACTTAAGTTTATGTCGAAATAACAATTCACCATGTGAAGATAATTTTAGTTGAAGTCATAGACGCATAAAGTTGCTTGAAGTGGGTTTATTTAATATTATCTCATATACAATGAGTTCGCTGGGTGTTTTCGATGATGATGAAAACACATCTATGTTTACAATTCGTTTCATGCATTGATACATATAACAATGTTAGATTATTTGAGCCATAATTCTGTAACGGCTGTAAAAATGATATTACTGCGAAAACGTACACTTAAACAGCCCTTGTGCAGGTTGTTTTCCCATATATCATGTGTTCGCTGATGTTTTTGGTGATGATAAAAACATCAATGTTTACAATTCTTTTCATGCATTGATATATAATAATGTCAAAATACTTTAGCCACAGTTCTGTGCCGGCTGCTAGAATGATATTACTGCGAAAACATACTGCGTAAACAGCCAATATGCAGGTTGTTGCAACTAGAACGAAAAACGGTCTGATGACAAATCACGAACACAATGTCATGTGAGCTGAAGAAGACAAGTTTTGTTCATTAAATTTATGGAAACGATGCCCAGACACAACACGCACTCTAACTGACAATTGGAAACCATCACTCTGCAAATCAATTAACTGTCATTTCAACACAATTCCAAGATGCATGCTGAATGCCTAAATAACAAGCTAATAACCTTTCGTCAAAATAGTGAAACAACCGAGCCTTCAGGGACGGTGGCTTTGAGATTTGTGTCAAAGCCGGCCTAAGAAGCTGCCAGTTTCAGATTGCGGAATAAAGACAAGCTTCGTTTGTAAATACACAATTCTTATACATGTAAATGCATGCAAAGCCTTCTGACATACACATTCAGTGCATCTTTAGCAAGATGAAATTGGAACTGAACAATCTGAAATTTAAACTGCTGACATATGCTAACTGTAATTACAGCACAGTTATGTAATGAATAAAATACAACTCGAAAATCAATTTTAACGTAGAGAGTCAGCCCCACGTTAAACGAGAAACGATCTCCATTCATACACGGTTGCACCACAGAGAATATAACACCCTATCAGGAATACTTATGAAAGGAAACTTACAGGCAGGTGAAGAGATGTCAGCGTTGATGAAGTGAGAACACAAGTTTTCCAGGGAGTTCCAAGATAACTCTGGAGACGCTCCAGCAGCACTCATATCCCGGCGCTGCCACCTAACTGACTGTGTCCTATCCACTATACAGATGCTGCTTATAGAGGCGGCCACACCGCCAGTCATCTAGATATTGATCCAGGGGAATAACTCCTGATACCTGTTGAATATCTCGCTACTGTTACGTGTAACAGACTTGCCGTCGTTGTACACGATCACGCTATCGCTTATTCACGACACCGCTGGCGTTCCGTTAGCTGCGTCGGTTAAACCTATGGACTGGGAAGACGTGAAAGGGATGACTCCCCCACCAATACCGTAATGTGATCAACGATTGCATAATGTTTATGCTTATACATTCAGCGTCTCCACGTCCTTGCATTATATTTTGAAACATTCGCCCATTCTGTAATCGTTTTGCTTATTGGGGGGTATTAATATACGCGATCACATACCTTGGGGGTATCGTCAGAAGCAGACATGTCAGATGGATAGATGGACGGATGGACTGATGGAAGGAAGGAAGGAAGGAAGGAAGGAAGGATGGATGGATGGATGGATGGTTGGTTGGTTGGTTGGTGTGTGTGTGTGTGTGTATGTATGTATGTATGTATGTATGTATGTATGTATGTATGTATGTATGTATGTATGTATGTATGTATGTATGTATGTATGTATGGATTGATGGATGTATGTATGGATTGATGGATGGATGGATAGATAGATAGATAGATAGATAGATAGATAGATAGATAGATAGATAGATTTTGTGTTATTGCAGATGAAACGATAGCGAACTGATTTGTATACAGCAATACAAACATGGAATAACACATACGTTGTGAGTCACAATTTGAATAATTGACAGATCAAGCTAAAAAACCAACAACCAACACTGATAAAGTTGATTAGTATATTTACTGTTTAGTGTTTGTATAAACAGAGTCTTGTTATTACATGACACGCTCGTTTTCTCCTCTATGATTTAGAATCTCTGAATAAATTAAGGATTAAATAGTAGTTAATTGGCACCACTAACATCCTGTCTAACAACAACTGGCGTCAAAGGAAGCTAAGCATCAGTAGATCCAAACAAGCAAGGAACATACCTGCCTGGCGCTTGGGACTTAATTTAATTACCTGTGCTCGTTTCCATGTCTTCACTATAACAATCAGTGCTATTATCCAGGGCCTAGATTTTCGAAGCTCTCTTAGCGTTAAGATAGTCGTAAGTTAATGTCAATGTATGGCACTTACGACTATCTTAGCGCTAAGAGAGCTTCGAAAATCTGTGCCCTGTACCTATCTGTGTCTGATCGCCTAACAAGACTATTTACGCCTGGATTAATTCCTGGCTTTTCTTTGCTAATAACTTCCCTGTTATGTACTTGTATAGCTGCCTGAAAGAGTATGAATATACTCGGAAACGTTGTGTTTCTGAAAACAAACATTGGAATTGTTGTGCGCATCACTTCTAAATGTCTTTCAAAGATTCTGGATAAATTGTTTTGCTATTTAACGTGTCACATGAACCAACAGAATATATTTTAAAACATAATTATTTCCATATTTGCGGAGTATTTTCGAGTGGAATGTAAATTAGCTGTGTAGTAATACCAGTGTACTTTGGAAATACCACAATGGATCTCTGTTTCACATATCTATGAAACGCTATTATAGACAACAGATAACCTATCACCACAGTGTTAAGCCTTGTGTGTGGCATCATTTAATGTTTATCGAGTTCCCGGTCAAGGAGGAATATGCATACATGCTATAAAATATTGGCTCAGTAGGAGATGCAAAAGATAGCAAATGACGTTTATGTGATAACTGTAGATGCAAATCGTTGATAACGCCACTCTTCTGGCAGCTGTTAAGACTATTAACATCCTTTACTTTTCACACGTACGTACTGCATGTGTATATTTGCACCATAATTCTTAAAGTGAGAATGCTACAGTATTACGCCTCTTTCAGCAATATGCTAGCACTATTACATCACTGTAACATCTGTTGATACTAGAAAGGGGATTCATACATAACCATATGGGTTATACGGAACGTACGATTAAACCAATATGCTACTCAACTTACCCACATATATCTTAAATATGTAATTCTGAAACAGATGGCTTTGATGGTGCATCGTAATTCTCGGCATGAGTTCAGCAGTACACTAGATGAGTCGGGTGAGTCATACAATGCGCATTCTGACATGCATGCACATCTATACATATAACTTAAGGTTATACGTTATTGCAATACGTTAAACTGCAATTATTTTCTATACAAATAACATCACTTTGCCATTTCAACGGTACCAGGACTGATCCGTTAAGTCCGGTATGAGCTGAAAGTCAATTAAAAATTTTCAAAAATAATTTCAAATTGCTTATACGGCCCATGGCGTGAAAGGATATGTAAGTAATTTACATGAATCTAATATGAGACTTACCAGCTGGCCAAAAAGTACATGGTGTATCCACTTTCCGATGTCTAGTTCCGTAACGTTACAAAATATATAAGAAGTAAATATAAAACACACATACTATGCATGTAGAGATGCACAGAGAGAGAGAGAGAGAGAGAGAGAGAGAGAGAGAGAGAGAGAGAGAGAGAGAGAGAAGAAGAGAGAGAGAGAGAGAGAGAGAGAGAGAGAGAGAGAGAGAGAGAGAGAGAGAGAGAGAGATTAAAATATTATCGAATAAATTCCTATTTAAGAAAATATTATATATAAAATATATATAATGTGTCCCATGGAATGCATATTTGTCTATGGAATATTTACTGCATATGTAGTAACACCACGAGACGACTTTGAAGCACCATCATGGACCTCTGTTAGATGTATCTATGGAACGCCATTACAGACAACAAATTACCCAGCCCTACAGTTAAGCCTTGTGTGTGGCAGCATGATTTAGTATCCACAGAATTCCCGGCAGAGGCGGAGCATGTATTCTGTACAATGATGCCACGGTAGGAGATACAGCAGATTACAAATGACGTTTATGTGATAACTGCGCATGCTGAGAAGTTCCCTTGCCACACAGGTGTTGAAAATAGTCACTCCTTTTCATACATATTCATTCTACGTGCCTGTGCATGGCGCCATGTAGCTTCCAGCAAAGTTTTACGTCGTTTTCGTAATATTCAAGCAATACTTCATTTAGAGATACCAGAAGGAAGCTTCACACGTTGTACCCATGCTGGTAATTGAAGCCAGATATCGGTGTGAGAAGTGAACGATTCAATTTATCATTCATTTATGTCATAATTCTTTTAAAGAGATGGCATTGACAGTTGGTCGTAATTCTTGGCTGCATGACAGATGAGTCCGAGGAGTCATACATGTGTGATCAGGGGCGGTGGGATAGCCTAGTGGTTAAAAAGTTGCGGGTTCGATTCTCCACATGGGTACAATGTATGAAGCCCGTTTCTGGTGTCACCTGCTGTGATATTGCTGGAATATTGCTAAAAGCGGCGTAAAACTAAACTCACTCACTCATACAATGTACACTCTGACAAAACCATACACAACTGTTAATGCGACGTCATACGTTACTGCAATACTTCCAACTGGCATTAATAACGTTTTCAGTCGTAATAATCAAATGAAGATATCGCTTTATCGTGTCAGCCCTTTTCTGGACTCGTGGATAATATCCTGTGTAGGTTGAAAGTTATCATGTTTGCCTGCGTACAAAGTTTCAAATGTAATCCATTGAATTATTGGATTCTTTCTTTCCGACATTCACTTTAAAGAAATATCCTTTGAGTACGGTGCTGTGGGTTTTTTACCGAAAAGGAAACATATTGAGATGTTTACCATTGGGCACACTGCCTTTGAGGGATTAAACTTCACGCTGTGACGATGCGCACTGACCATAAAATTGGTCGCTAACAAAATTCCTTCTACACTCTTCAGCGATTAGATGACGAAGAATTGCAGATATCGTTAATGGCACTTCTTCTTAACAGCACTGAAAATGTCGTATTCATGAGTCAATTTATGAGTCCGAATCAAGCTGAGTAAATGAGAATACTAAATCTTTCCTCACTTTCGCACGCGTGAAAGCCCGTTGTCATCTTGTAAACCTTCCTCGGTGTAATCACTGCTACAAGAAATACACTGCTGGAATAAATAAAGAATTCACGGGGTGTTTATTCCTTAAAGATCAAACCATCATGACCAGGTCTTTATAGTTTGGCACCGAGAACCACCAGAAGAGGGGCAGTGTTGCTGTGTTTCCTCAAGGCGAAGACTCCAACGTGATTAGCACGTCGTCCTGAACGAAACTAACAATATCACAACAATCCCGTGCAACCCCAGAGCATTTCGTTTGAACACAAATCCCAAGGGCACATTCCCGTTATTCGCGTATGCATAATTACAACCAATTTGCATGGGCAGCGTCCACGGCGCAATTGGTCGCTTGGACATCTATCCGTCTTGTTCAACAATTAATATGGACACATAGCTATGATGCCTCAATCACGAGTACCCTTTGTTCCCGTAACTGTATCAAACAACTGCAACTCATCTGGAAAATTAGGGATGTTCTAAAGCCACAAATCCTTATCACCAATACATCTTTTAAACGGCAAGGGGGAATTTATATCCGAGCTCCTAATTTTCTATTTGCATAAGCTCCAAGTAATAGAATCGTTGATTTCTTAAATATTGATATTTTTTGCAAAAGAGGCAAACATATCAGTCGGATCATACATGACATCTTAATGTGGGATGCAGTATACAAGACTAGGTCAGGCTGACTCCTTCACGTCGGGGGGCTCCAGAGAGCGTCCTCCTATCATATGATGGATCAAATTTAGGAGACTGTGGCAAATTCCTTCATTTACAGCCTTGTCATAATATTCGACTTGAGGTTGATGGTTCGTTATGATGAATACAGAACGGCTACAAAAGAAATCTTTTAGATGGGTTTTTTTTTTTTGCTCCATAAAGATACAACTCTCACGACGGGATATTTTGAGAAAGGATGAATGTAGTATTTTTTAAGATTTTGGATTTTTAGCTTTGTTTTACTTTGTAATATAAACGCTTTTTTTAAGAACCCGAAAATTTTGAACATGACACCAACAACGCTTAAATTCTTGAAAGACGAAAACGATTAGAGATGTCTTCAATGATTGTTTTGTACACTTCTTCA